TAATCATAAAATCTTATAGGCCTACCCCTCATGGTGGGGTTGGTGGTAACGGGGACCTGATGCAGGTTTAGGGTATGTGCTTTATCCATTGAAGTTGATTTTCACAATTTTTGAAACTTTTGCCAATTATGAATGGTTTGCAGCTGGATTACAAAAAAGAAAAAAAAAGAAAAAAAAAAAATAAATAAAAAAGAAAAGAAAAAAACTAGTATGAATTAATGGGAATATCAATAGAACAACATATTTTTAAGGGTATTAGCCTCCTCTTTGGCAATTGGGGGCTAGCGGGTTAAAAACATATAGGCCTACATTATCACAGTGACCGTCGCTGCCACCCCATAGACTGATTTTTTTAAAAGCATATTACGCTCAAGAAATAAAAATCATCTCATATCACCTTATTTTGTTTGATAACTCACAAACCAGCATTAAGACCTAAACCAAGCTTGTTTTTAATTTATTTTGTTTTTTGAAATTCATTATACTGTACAATCTCGAAAACAAGCCTATGCTATCTTGGAAAGAAGCCCATGGGTCCTAGCGAGACAAGTATATACTTCTAGCTAGGACCCAATGATAATAAAGTTTTTTTCCCCATTTTTTTTTTGCTGCGATGCAGCCAATTCATATTCTTGACAGCAATTTGACCTCTGAAAGGTCATTGTTTGTCAAAAAATAAGTACCTAAGACGACTGAAAAACGGAGTTTCCTTCTTTCGTTCTGCCGGGTAAAATCAATTACTTTAGGCGACGTTTGTACACTAACCTACTCGTACCAACGTCCTCATGTCGCGCTAGCCTTCCTACTCTAGGCCTAGACTAGCTAGGATGGTATAGGCCTAGCCTTGAAGGGACGAAGGTCCCAATGAAAAACAACGTCGCTCTTTGATAGTTAACAGTGTCTATTTAACATCACAATAATCCATTATTAGACCTATAGTTGTTTTTTGAATTGTACTCCACAAATCTCAGCCGATACCTCGCACAACTACCGCACAACCCGCTAACCTCTCTATCTATTGTCGTGACGTCATGGCTCGCTGGCTCACACCTCACACTCAGCTTGACCACTCACAATTTTTGATATACCCAATGACTGGGTCGAAATTACCCAAGATTCAGCAAAAATTGCCCAAAATTACCCAAGCTTCCTGAAAATGCATTAAAATTTGAAAAAAAACCCGTGTTTTTCGCACGTATAGTTTCCCTTTTAGTTTAATTTATAAATCATTTTTTTTATTGTAATTGTTTGTGTTAATTATTAAAATTAATATTCATGAGGTGATAATACAGATAGAGAAATACGCCCTCAGTCGGCCAGTGTATCAGTAGATCAGTGATCAAGTTTTATTATGTAATGCATTAATTAGGTAAGATCAATAGCAACGCAAATCACAAATAAACAATTCTGAACCCATGTTTATAGCAATTAACAGTCACTTAACAATGTTATGTGCACTTCGTTGAGTTTTGCTTACTTAAATGGACTGACATATACTTTGTTACTTCTTCCTCCATGACAAAAATATTTAATTTTCTTAGTAAAAATAAAATACCCAAGGATTTGAACGGAATACCCAAGAACCCAAGACCAAGACAAAATACCCAAGATCTTGGGTAAATACCCAAGCAGTGGTCACACTGCTCACACTTGTGATATGTCTCGCACTTGTGATCAAATAACACGCTGGCTCGCACTTTGGCAACACTCTTTGGGAGTCAACTCGCCCCTAGAAAACCCGCCCTTGGAAACTTGCCCCATAAAAAAATGTACACTTCCTAGACCATGCAGCCTTCAAAATAAAAATTGTAACCTTCGGTAATCAACTACATTTTCCACATACATAGACATTTTGAAACTTTATTAAAAAAAAAACCTAAACCATAATTCACCACACTATAGACACTTTTTGACAAAAATGAAAAATTACGACTTTGTTACCCAATGAGAAGTGTTCTAATATAGACAATGGGTCGTGTCTCATATTATTTGTTATATTTTTATTATTCATTATTTTCACTTGACTCGCATAAATAATTTTGTTCAAAGAACATTTATATGCAGTTGTACTTCGCAGCACTTAACTTGCAATTTGCAATTTCTAAGTGTACTGTTATAATTCTATCTGTTTGGCATTATTGTCGAAATAAAATGTTATCCTGAATCTGAATCTGAGCTTCTTTTCGAGGCTAATTTTTGCAAAAAAAGAGGTGGGCTTTTATAAGCCCATTGGGCTTCAATAGTGGCTTTAATCAAAGAGTATAAATAGAACAAGAGAGCAAAGTCCCGTTCGTAAAAACGTCATGCCTGTGTAGGACGCCAACTAACGGTTGTATATTCTTTTTATTACCCAGTGCAGCGCACAGGTGCAGTACTGGGTAATAAAACATATACAAGCGTTAGTTGGCGTCCTACACTATCTGCGTAGAGCGTATCGTTTTTTTACGCTCCCAATGAGCGTTGTTGGCTCTCTTGTTCTATTTATACTCTTTGCTTTAATTCGAGGTTTTTCAAGATACTAGAAATACAAGATAGAGTTCTCCCATAGAGGTATAATAAGAATTATACTAGAGCGCTAACCGCAATGTATTCGAAGTTCGAAATACGTTATCTACCATCCAAGATGGCTACCATAGATTTAGCCAATCAAATTTCGCTAAGCGCCATCGTTTGCAAATGCGCCATCAATTTACTCAGAAAGTTCCTGCAGTACGCGATTTTTTTTCCGTACGAAACATTTGCATGAAACTCCACTCAGGCCGTCTCGGATTGATTCGACTCGAGTTTGATATACGAACAAGAGCAGGCACTTCGCAATGTCGTGACGCTCGAGTATTCTATTACCTTTACTGTACTGTTCTTTATTTACCTACGGCAGGCCTATAAAATCTTACCGATTTATGGGATGTAGGCTACGTCTGTAACTATCTGTGAGCTTTTTTGTATGTTTATTATCAAATGTACTACAACAACAGCTAGTACCCCCTTCTATAGTAGTACGCCAGTGGTAAATAGGTACATCTATCAAAGGCTAGAGCAAAAGAGGCTAAATAATGGGCCTAGTGGAACGGCCTAGTTCCAGCTGAGTTAGGTCCACCTGCTAGCCCATCCCCCCACCTTCCGCCAGACTAGGTTCCTAGGCCTGACACAACACAGTCACGCTTCGCATGGATGCCATTGACTGAAATTTTGAACTAAATTTAAAAACATGAAATTAAAATGGGACAGTGAGTAAAAAATATTAAATATAATAAATTAAATATATCACTCAGGCATTAATGAACTTGGCCTAAGCCTTGTAATGTAATTAATATTAAATAATAAAAACAATAATAATAATATTATAACAATAATATATAAAATATAATAATAATTATAAATAACCATATATAATTTCGCCATTAATTAAATTAGCCTATAGGCCTTGTAATCAAGAAGCACCTACAGTATACTATATTAGGCCTATAATCCAAACTCCCTGCCTTAACTTTTAGTAATTCTAGGCGGAAGCAGGTCAACTCGGCCCCAAGTCAACACGGCCTCATGTCAACTCGGCCCATGTCAACCAACCCCAAGTCAACTTGGCCCCAAGTATATATTGTTATTATATTATTAGTTATTTTATATACCTTTGTAAAATTTTTATTAATATATCATCTTAATATTATTTTTATTAATGCAGTTTTAATTATTGTAAGTGCATGTGAATGAAACGAAATAACAAAGGCAACGATTTAAAAACACTTTAATTTTGGCTTTGCATTCAAATCTCTTGGTAAATATTCAATAAATACCGTACACAACTAGTAAATTAGGGCCGAATTGACATGGGACCGAGTTGACTCGAATTCGTCATGACATAGGTTAAACAATTATCCAAAAAACTAAAAAATTAAAATGTGCACAGTAACACAAATAGGGCCTATAGAACACTTTTTATTATTCGTGCAGCGAAATCAAATAATACATATGTTGTTTTAAACGACCCTATATTAGAATGGCAATGTGTTTTTTTTTTACAAAATCAGACAGCGAGCAGCAATCCTGTATCTCAGAAGTTTTGTAGACGTTTATCTTTGGTTGATGACCTTTTGACCTCCAACATTGCGATTTTCGAGTCGAGTCAGTCGAGACAACCCGAGTGGAGTTTCACGGAAAAAAAAATCGCCTGCAGCACAGCTAGTTACCTGTATGTTTGAAACTCGAGCGTTGCGTTGTTTGGGTGTAATGTAAACAATTTTAATTTTCATTCCTTGGTACTTTATTTTTGAATAAGATGCTTCACTTGGCCTCGTTTTGGCTACAATAGTTTAATAATTTGTTATTACCATTACTCATTATCATTAATGAAATAATAGTCAGTCAGAGGCAGTCAGAGGGCTTATTAATATGTATACTAAGCCTGAAGGTGGCGCTTTACTACGACGGCCATCTTGGATGGTACACATACATAACTCTGCATTGCTGCGCCATCTTGTCAGCACTCTAGTTCTTTAATAGCTCTATGAGTTCTCCACACAAAAAAAGTATTCCACCGAAATGCATGGTGGGAATACAAACAATGGGACGCCCCCTACAGCTGGATCTAAAAAAAACTTCTTCCAAACATTCGTAACCAAGTCGTCGCGTATTTTATTCCCTTTTTATTTACTAGATATAAAAACAAACTGGAATAGACACCCAGAGAGTGACATCGGTGCACATAACCTCCTTGGTGGCGGTAGAAATCGTTGCTATTATCCAAATAAAAACACAAAACAATTAAAGCATAATTATGAATCAGTAAAGAATAAAACAACAATACAGCGCAGAATCGTATGGCCGGACGCACTCTTAGTGAAAAAGTTTTCCTTCATTAGTGGAAAAGGAAGGGCGCCTTTTGCGTCTGGATATACTTAGTAACAGAAGGGCGCCCTGTACGTTGGGCACGAGGTATAGAAAACTTGCATGGTTAAAAGGAAGAGCGCCGCCTACGTTGGGCACGACTTCCGCCTCATTTTTACAATGCGAGTGCTCTATCTTGTATTTCTAGTATTTTGCCTTACTTACCGCATTGCATCGTCTTTTGCAATAACGGCTTTTCAGAAGAAATCAACAATAATTTAAATAGCAGTTATTATATTAAGCCGTTTTTTTCATTGAAATGGGTGTTCCTAAGTTCTATAGATGGATCAGCGAACGATATCCTTGTCTCAGTGAGGTGGTCAAGGAAAATCAGGTAAGAAACGCTAGGCTGGCCCTCTCTAGCTAGGCCAATATTATAGGCCTAGGCCTAGGCCTAGCCTAGCCTAGGGCCTAGGTAGGCCCAGTTTTGTCTCAGCGAGGCCTTGCCTAGGCCTATTCGTTTCCTTGTTGTATTAACTAGCTAAGGTCTAGCCTAGACCAATCTAAGATTGGTTTTGGTCAGCTGCCGTCTCATCATCACGTTAATGAAGTAGGCCTAGACATAGGCCTAGGTAGATAGGCCTAGGCCCTAGCCCAGATTACAGAAAGTAAGAGAAGAGAGGTGTGGGTAGCCTAGGCCTCTTATACACATCTAGATGTGTATAAGAGACAGATATTAGAATGGCAATGTGTTTTTTTT